TGATACAGGCACATTAATGAACATTTCGTTTCACAGCTGTTTATCAATACGACAGAACGAAAAAAAAAATTCTTTCGTTCTGCTTGTCTTCAATTGAAGACAGCAGTATCCAAGAGGTTAAACGGTGCCCACAAACGCGTTTATAGAGTTTTTGCCTTCTTTGTAGAGGGCATCAACAAATTAGAGTGAAAAATGGTCGACACAATGAGATATGTATATAATCGTATGTCTCTAAGATTTTTTCAATATATAAATATATTTTCTTTTTACTAGAATATTGGATGGTTTTACATTTCAGATAAATATAAATGTTGGGATCAAAATTAAAATTTCTTTTTAATTAGGAAAAATTGAAATTCTTTTTGACTAGTGAAGCGAAATTTTTTGTTCTTACCGGAAGTTAAATTTTTTTTCAGGAGAGTAGTGGAATTTTTTTCCGCTAGAAAAGATTAATTTTGTTTTTTAAACTAATGGAACTGTATTTTTTTCAATTAGACAATAATTTTTTTCAAGTAGACGAGATGAAATTTTTTTCCACTGAATAAATGAATTTATTTTTTTAACGATGCAAAATTGAAATTTTACTTTTAGCTAAGGTTCTATTGAACAAAATCAAGATTTCATTTCTCTACTTCAGGAAAACACTATTGTGTCTAGTTCAACAAAAAACAATTCCATCTGTTTAAAAAGACAAAATTAATTTTTTCTAGTGAAAAAGAAATTTCACTACTCTACTGAAATAGAAAATTTAATTTTCGTTAGCAAAAAAATTTCAATTTTCACGGAACAAAATTAAAATTTTAATTTTAACCACAACATATATTCATCATTATTAGTGGTAATCAACGACGTGGACATTTGTTATTTTGTGAAATTTTTCTCTTTCCGCCTATTTTCTTCATTTCTCTGTGACATTGGTTTGTGATATTTGTATTACGGCATCAAATAATTTTGAAAGTTTTGCTTGCTTTTGTATTGTAAATTTCTCACGTGTAGTTCTCGCCTTTTTTTCTTAAGTAGTGTGTTTTAATTTTATTGTTTCTCGCATATATGCAAACTTTTTGCAATCATAATCGTCATTTTTTTCTATGCCAACATTAATTTTTACATTGTATTGTATAATAAACTTGAAAATAGAAAAAATGAGTGTACCCTTAATTTATATAATAAGAGGTTTAGAAGTGTTGTATCTGAGCGATTACGAAAGACGTTCGTGATAACGTAGAACGCGTTCGGAACAGTACAGAGAACATGCGAACGCGTTCTGTGACTGTTCGCCTCGACCTGGGTAGCAATAAAAGAGATACAGTGGCGATGACTATAGATATGACAAATGATTGGTCAAAATTACTTTCGAATTAATTGCTAGTTATGACTCATGAATAGTTGTCTTTTTTTTTCATATATTTTGAATGCATTACAAGATCAACAAAGAAATAAAACACTAAGTCTTGATTACAATCAAGGTAAATCTAGAAAAAAAATCTTTCATTTGTTCGTTAGTCATTCAGCATCTAAAAAGAGTTTTCCATCATTTTTCATCTATTTTGCGCGCTCTGTCCCAAATAGATATGAAATACAAGTAAAAATAAGATATGGGTTTTATTAGCTATGTTGTTTTTTTCTGATTACGGACATGGAGTAGGTATCAAAAAAGTACTTTCTCAGCGTAGAAAACTAGCTCATGAAATGCGTAGTAGTTGAAAGCCTATAAAACCTTACATAGAAAAGAAAAACAGATGACTCATTCAGAAGAAAATCGAAATAGAATTTTGCTTTGCGTTTTTCTTTAAGTAAAATTTTACATCAAAAGTGTACTGCTTCGTCTCTATTTCACCGACATGATAACAGAGGTCAAGCTGGAACTTTTATTTTACACATCATAGCCACTATTTGGTATCAGTATTTTTTTATTCATACAGTATTGTTCTACTGATTTTTGGCAGCTTTCACAAAATTTGTTCTAGTAAAAAAACAAGCGTTTTTTATTATGAATCCAATATCTCATAAAAGACAGCATTAGGAAACTGTGTTTAGTACAAATTTTGCTCTACTGTTGAAAATCTATTTGCTCTGAAAGTTTTAAACTTTTCCAATGAGCCGTTCTCCAGAAATGGTGGGGAAGGAATATACTTGATATCTCTCACTATGAAAATTTCATACACCAAAAACAATAATGAAATATAAGAAACTTGATGGCAGTCATATATAAGATAAACTATCTACAAGGCTGAAACTAACTATTTGCTTTCCAAAAAACTATTATCCATTGATGAACTAATCAGCTGTAAATTGTAAAGTTGATTAATTTCGCACTTTATTATTCATGAATTAAATAAAGGATTATACAATATACTTTAAATGAAGAATTTCAAAAATTTTAGGATACATCTACAGTGATATATGCTTTGATTGCAACAAGTCAAAGGATGTCGATAAGTATATGACATCAGAATGTATGCGACTTTTTTTAGTAAATACTATAGAGATACGGCATATATGTCAAACTTGAGAAGTTGAATTTCAACTTTTAGAGACATATAGGCACTCTCATGGTTAGAGTACCACGGAAAGATACACATGACATCTCTCACAATGAGAGAATGTCGTGGAAAGCTATGTGTGGGTTTCACGCTGAGATTGGGATTGAAGTAAAGTTTGAATAGAAATAAAGCGTGATTTAAATGTTTGTAATATCTTTATAGTTTTTAAGAAGATGAGAACGACGTTGACATGTCACACCTTGATGATTGAAAATTGAAGAGTAGTTGTTCAATTGAGTACAATCTTCAAGTTGGGCATGACTTCTTTATCATATAGTCAAAGTTGAAAAAATGAGTGCTAAAAATTGCAGTTTAGTAACGATGTTCAAAATTATTATATATAGTTCAGTTTATAATGCTATAATAGAAATGAGATGTTTCAGAAAATGAATATTAATAAAGTTCAAGTTATTCTGCCATGATCGTGGTTGTAGACATTACTTCAACAGTGTCGTTGACATTGTCTTTTGTTTGAAATGGATTTTGTCCAGTGTTCAAAAAATCAATGAACACTCGAATAAAAAATGCTCCATCTTTTACATAAAGACTTTTTGAATCTGTAAGATATTCAAGTGAGCAAAATTTGTTTATACCATATTCATCATTCTTGTCATTAATAGGTCGAATAAATGCAGTTGCATTTGGATCTGGTTTTAAGACATATATAATATGATTTTGTTGATTGGATTGATCCCATAAAGCAAAATACATAGTACATGAAAATGGATAAGGAATAAGATTACTATATTCTCCATTATATAGAGTAAGAAAAATCGATAAGTATTTTTGTTGTGATTCAATCGTTGAACATGCACGAAGCATGAATATATAGCCATATTGTGAAGTCTTGAATTTTGACGATTGAATTGAAAATGAGGATGTGATAGGGCAATTAAAACGAAGGGTTGTAGTAGAATTATTGTCTAATACCTGAATTCGACTTTCTTCTTGAACCTGTTTAATATCTTCTAGCTGTGTTTGCATACTGTTTTGAGATTCAGATAATTCCTTAAGAGATTTGTCATTTTCATTATCATATTTTTTCAATTCATCTATTTTTTTTGAAAAGTTTTGCTCAAAATGTATTTTTATTTCATTTTCTTCGGCTTTTAAATGTGCTAAATCGTTTAATAAAATTTCGTAGACTGAGAAAATAATGGAAATACTTTCATGAATATCATTGAGTTCTTTGCTCATGAGTTTAGAACAATTTTGAATTTCCAATTGCCGATGTTTTGGATTCTTATATTCCAAAATAATGATAATTAATTTATGTTGATGTTCATCACTGAGATAATGTGCTTTCATTTCGTACCATTTTATCTACAGGAAAACTATGTATTGTGATCGAAAGAAAAAAATACACTCACTGAATTCATACAGTTGGGTAACCCGCATGATATAGATCGATGAACGCATAGTTCTTGTCGATGTTCTTCAAATGAGTTTATTGCAAAAAAATGTTCATGACAATCGGAACATTCTAAGTCTGCATGTAATTCTTGTAGATGATCCTAGAATAAAAATATCTCAGTATGGTTTTTATATATGTGTTGTAGACTACATACTAAATAATCTTTGTACGTTCCATTCCATGAGCATGAATAGCATACAATGATAATCATCTTCAACTCTCGTTCAACGCCTCGATCAGCCAACGCCTACTAATGAAATTATACAGATTCGACAACAAACAAACTATATTACTTTTTTTTTCGTTAGTTTTGTATCACAGTATTGGCAAACAAATGGTTCTCTAAAAACAAATATTCAATATTAAAATCAAACTTAAAACTAAATGGTTAATACCTATTGGACAGTCCCTTTTTCAAGCACCATTTACACAACAATGTACCACAACATAATAGTTGCCATGGATAGAATAATATCAATTTACATAATACACAAATAAATGTATGAGTGATTTTGTTCAAATTTCTAGCGTTGATTCCACCGAATAATTCGTTTTTCTTACTGTTCTCCGACATTCCTGTTAGAAATGGTGTCAAATCGAAGAAAACAGAATCAATTTTTTAAAAATTATAAACGATCTAGAAAAAAGAAGAAATATTTTTACACTACTTCCGTAGGAAGAAGACTGACTCATTTCTTGTGATTGAGTAATATTTATGAAATTGCAAGCATTCTCGAAAGAAGTGACCATTCAGGCAAACTTTTGAGAAAACGCGTTTAAACGCACAAAAATTCGTCTAAAATCAGCAAAAAGTGGACGTTTTTGGCTCACACTTGGGGGGTATGGGTGTGGGTGTGAGTGGGTGTTAGTGTCCTGCGGGAACGACTTTTTCTGATTCCCATTCCCTATTCCCATTCCCTAAAAAAAACTTTTTATTCCCATTCCCTTTTTCCCATTCCCTAAAAAAGAT